AAACAAAACAAATCCAAAATATGTGGTATATAGGTTAATACTAATCCGAAATAAGCATGGAAAATCTACTTATCAACGTGGAATGGGGAATATAAGCTATTGATTAGATGGGAAAACCGAATGGATACGAATACAAAGTCGAATTTTATTTAAATTCTTTTTAAATTAAGGTACTGGTAAAAATAAAGACTTTCTGGCATTCATTCGACAGTTTACATATGCTGCTTGTTTCACTCCCTTGTTCTCTTTTTCTGACGTCATCTCTCACTGTTGGAATGGAGCGAGCTTCTTTAAACTTGCCTAAGTGTACATGTAATAGATGAGTTAACATGACACACACCTGGAACGCACAAAACAAAACAATGCACGTGCGCACCTTCTTAACCACATTCAAACGCAATCCAGTTCACCTAAATTGTGAGAGAATTAACACTTCTTAAATTTAGCAATACATGTTTTTTTATTTATTATTTATATATATACTAGCGGAAAAAATAAACTGTGCATGCGGAGAATTGTTATAGAACATGTATTACCAACTGTATATACATGAAAATTCACACACATGACCGAGTATGACACATACACACTATCCGTGTGTCATTGACAGTTTTTTCCGTGCAGTTTGCTCTCTATAGGCGTTGACCAGTTTGCACGTTTTTCTCGTCCAGCCACCCAATTCGATAATGAAAGTTTATTTTTCAACTGTTGGGTCACTCTGTTGAGAGCAGTAAACAGTAAAAACAGTGTTATAACGTTTTAATTTGTGATTAATGCTATGCCGAGGCTCAATGAAAATGACCGCCTCCGGATTATTGGTATGCTTCAAGCTGGTATGGACCAAGCCGTTGTCTCTACACGTTTTCATGTCCAATCTCAAAACCCAATCCGGGATTTGTGGAGACGACATCAACAGTTTGGCCACGTCGGCGATCGACCTCGTGCGGGACGTTCACGTGCGACGTCACGTCAACAGGACTACCATATTCGGCTTGTCCATTTGAGAAAACGCTTCCAAACGGCAAGTTTGACTGCACGGACAATCCCTGTGTTGCTACCAATAAGCCCGAGAACTGTACGAAACCGATTGTGTGGACGAGCTATTCGTCTGCGACGTCCTGCAATCCGCCCAGTTCTTCTGCCACGTCATCGTGTAGCACGTCTGGACTGGTGCAGAAGACATCTGCGATTTACTCGATGGGATTGGGCAGGCATTTTGTTGACGGATGAGTCGCGAGTCCACCTGGATAGTAGTGACGGCCGTTCCAGAGTGTATCGTCGCGTTGGAGAACGTTTCCGTGACGCGTGTGTGGTACAACGACGTTCTTTCGGCGTAGACAGCGTTTTGATATGGGGCGGCATCACAGCCAACGGGAGAACACCTCTGGTGGTTGTTAACGGGAATTTGAACGCGCTATGTTACCGTGACGAGATCCACCGGACCCACGTCGTTCCATTCGTGCAAGGGCAGCAACGTCATATTACGCTACAGCAGGACAACGCCAGGCCACACACAGCTCGTGTCGCTATGGAATTTCTGGCCCAGCAGAACGTTGACGTGTTGCCCTGGCCTGCTGCATCCCCCGAACTGTCGCCAATTGAACACGTCTGGGATGAAATGAAGCGCAGATTACGGGCATTACCTAATCAACCGGTGACGTTGGCTGATTTGGCTGCAGCGTTGGTACAGATCTGGAATGCCATCCCATAAGCATTCTTGAACCGTCTGATAGGCTCCATGCGTCGACGTTGCCAGGCTTGCATTTAGGCAAACGGTGGACATACGAGGTATTAACTTTGTGAACTCAGAATTGGCCCCTGCTGTGTTTACGTCACTCCTGAGCGGAACCTATTGATTCCATAACGTGGAAAATGAAATGCAACTGTAAATAAATAACAAATAAATTGTCCCTGAAAATCTTGTTGTTCTACGTCATACACATTTATTTTTTATAACCCATGCATGCACAGTTTCTTTTTTCCGCTAGTATATTTTCGAATCAGAAGAACTGATTTTGTTTGAATTCCACTGGAGATATTCGACATTTATACATGCACACAATATCGTTAAAGAAACAGTTCTTTTAAGTGTTTTTTGTTTTGTTTGAATAATTTCCAAATAAGCTTAAAAGTCTGAAACTGTTAACCGCATAACCCAATAATTGTTTGCACATTACATTTGGAAAAGGGTAAATTATGAACTTTTCAGGCGTGATTCGCATTATATTCAAAACGTTTGTACATTTAAAGTAAATACTAAGGTAAATGAAATTGATCTAAAGTTGGTATATCATAACATATACGTGACATCCTTCTCCAATTTATATTAGTATGTTAATGTAGCGGGATCTGCGATTTTTGTTACTGTGCGTCAACATCTGACGTTACGTCATTTTGAGTGAAAACAAATATATAGTATCTTACATGAGTTTCCATTTCATTTGAGGTTTATGAGAACGAGTATAAGAATTTTATAATTTAGCGAGCCACTGGCGAGCTAAACTGAAAATTCGTGACGAGTTTCATAAATTTCATATGAAATGATAACGAGTGTAAGATCCTTTTTATCACATAATCAAGATTTGTGGCATTTATTCTTGTTAAACGACAATTTTTATGCAACCTTGAAATGTAAAAAGCCGCCGTTTTGACTCCAGTGCGTAAGTCTGTGACGTCATGTACTTGTCCTGGGCGTGACGTCACAATTGAAACTTACAACCAATCACAGGACTGATAGGTTATACCACATGGGTTAATAAGCAAAAAGATATGGAATGGGTATATTCACTGGATAACACAGTACATTATGTGATAAAAGAAAATATTTTCGGGGGGGGGGGGGGGGGGAGGGGGGATTTCAATTTAAAATAAAATAAAAAAGAAACAAAAACAAAATAGGGAAACAAGGAGTTCATGAGGTTGCAATAAAGGTTCTGACGTCATACTTTTATCCCATAATGACGTCAACACCGAAGTTGAAATCTGATCGGCCTTGGCGGCACTCAAAGGCATATGACGGTTAAGTAATGCGGCAGGCAAAGGGTAAATAATTTCTGAAACTAATTTCATACATAGCCGAACGTTCATGAATACCTTTTGAAACAATACAAATTATAATTTGAAGCTGTGTCCCGACTACAAATAAATATATATATATATAATGATTAACAATGATTCGAACCGATGTTGTTATATAAGTGCACTACTTTGTCATATGCACTATACTTTTATTAACACCGAAATTTAGATGTAGTTACCTATTTTTTTAGCTCACCTGGCCCGAAGGGCCAAGTGAGTTTGTGCCGTGGTGCGGCGTCCGTCGTCCGTCCATCCGTCCGTCGTCAATATTTTACAATATAAATCAGTTGTAATCTCATTTGAATATAGTTGAACTAAAACATCTAAGAAAGGCAAAGACGTCTCACTTCACTCCATCGTATACGAAATAGAAGGATGTATAGAATTCAACAGGTTTTAAAATTCATTTAAATCCTTATCAGGAGGCCATATAACAAAACAAGCGTCAAGGAACATTAAAAGTATTTCTGATACCTTTCTCCAAACTTTGTTTCAATCTTATAATAAAGTGTTTCCTCGACGTATCCTAAAACTAAGGTTGCATATGTAGGGGCAACTTTAGTACCCATCGCTGTACCCTTAATCTGTTGAAAATATTATTGGTTGAAATAAAAGGAATTACGATTGAGAACAATATATAGAGCTTTAAGTATAAATTTATTACTAAAGCGAGAATTAACTTTTTCTCGTTTTTTTGTTCAACCAGTATTCAACAGCTTAAATACCAAGATCATGTGGTATATTGCAGCAGTTCAATACTTATATTTACCATTTTTGGAATCTGTTCATCTCATAGAAAACTCAATTACATTTACTATTATTCAACATTTAGTAAAAATAATGTATGTATCGTGTTTGCTTGTGCAATGAATAGAACAGCCATCGCCCAGGGAGGGTCAGTGGTATCCAACGTAACAATTATGACGTCATAGTAATGATGACGTCAACAATCGGACCATGGCATTCATAGCCTATATGAATGCCAACTGAATTTGGTAGGGTTATATATATATATATATATAGTGGCAATGCCATATGATGTTAAATAGTGGTGTATAAACTAACAACATTAAAGAAAACAAGTTTAGAATTGTGTGGGACCTGTTTAAATGCACTTGCGCATAAAGGTTTAAGAATGAGATATATACACGATGACTCAAACGTTGCGTTACACTATTAGGACCGCCTACTATGGGTCTAAACTTCAAATCCGTATGATTTTGATTTTTCAACTTCAATATATGTACAGTTTTTTTCTTCTATAGCTTTAGTTATGATAGAGCTTTTGTGGATTTCAGGCAAACCATAGAAATAACTAGTTTTATACATAAAATTAATCTATCTCCTTTTCATGTAGGCATGCTTCTTGTGTCCGTATTAGTTCGTTGATTAATCTACAGGTTTCTGCATCGAAATCGTCACTTGCCGAAGTATAAAATTCAACATTACTAAGCATGTTATGTAGACGTAGATGTTCCTTAATGCCTGTGATAGTTAACCAAAAAAAAACCTCTTAGAATAATGAAATGTTTTCTGTTCCTAATATGCCTGTGGGAGTAAATACATACAATCAGCGTGAAACTAATAATAATGTTCCTAGTTTGACTGTGATGAGCTATATATGGCTTATGGTCGTTCTGATAGGGTAATAATGCAATTTTATCAAATCCCGTGAAGAAAATCATGGTAAAAAAAATAATGACTTAATCATAAGTTGTACATACAGTAATCGTTTTCCTTCAGTTATGAAATACATAATTAATAATGTAGGATAAGCCCTTTCTCCACCAGTTACCCCCATCTATCTTCTAATTCTTAACCTGTTGAGAAAATTTGGTGACTTCTACTTTCACTTTCACTTTCACATACTTCATTTCCGGTTAAAAATACGAAGCTGAGGTTTCAAATTAGGCAAAGCTGGCCATGCACGCTCCCGTTATATAATTACTCGTCATGGCAGTTTTGCCCACAAAGCTAAAACTCAAAGACTTTATAGGATCTGAAGAGGAGATATGCACCCAATATGCTTTTAAATGGATTGCCGGTGACATCGGTATCTCCGGGTACCCCATGCCTGAATTCTTCAACTTAATTATAGTTAATAGTAATGCCGCGGAGGGAACATCTCTCACTGATGCGTCGATCTATCTTCAACTAATTGAGGACGCTCGGGAGCTGAAGACTGTTAAGGCAGCTGCCGATTTTCGAATGCCAATGCCATGTTGCGGAACGGTTTTAATGAAAGACGTTATTAATACATCGATTTTTGAAAAATTTGCAGCGGAAGGAGTAAAATCCATTGAGAAGCTCTCCTACTCATATCGGCAAGCTTTCTTGATATTGTTTAAATTTCTGCGAGGTAATGTATTTCACCAGGACACTCAGTGATTACAGATACGTTTTATTACATCTTTACCAGTGAGGCATTGCAATAATAAAAACGTATGTTGCATTTCCATTATAACTGGGGTATAAAGTTTCTTGAAAGTTGAATGTTGGTGGTAACGTCTCGGTCAGCCGCATATGAATATTTTATAATTGTATAGAATGTACTACCACACAGATTCTTCTCTCACAAGTCGGATTGTAAGAATCCGTGTTTGATATTCGAGCCACCGGTGACAAATGGCAACCCGTAACGTGGGCGCCATGCAATGTGTCCGAGGTCATTATTTTATTTTTTCAATGCCTCCGGTAGGAGTCAAACCCGGGACCTCTGGCTTACTAGTCTTACACTCTATCGAATAAGCTGAAGAGAAATTCTCCCTAGCCGAGTCTGTAGGAAGTGGCTAATATTTTACCAGGTGACATGACCAATCAAAACACTGATTACAAACTACTATCGGAAAAAATATTAGTGGCCCATCTGGTAAAAGCCTGGTTAGCTTAACGATACAAAGACCTCGAGAAAATCCATCTGAAACATCAGCATATAATTATTCCACTATTCAGAAATATCATGTGTTACCTGTCATGGGGTATTAATCTCTGAGGGAAACACAACGCTAAATTCCACAGTTTACTTTAATTTTCATGAAAGCCAGCAGACTATGCAGGTCAGCAGTTCTAACTATTTCAGTGTTGATTGGAGAAAACTGCAGGTGTCAAATCAGAGACGTATACATAGGCTTTATACGACTCTGGTCAAATGAAACACGGTTTCAGCGTTTTCAAATCCAAAGTCGGGCTAAGGAATCTGTAGAAAGTATAAGAGAACAAGGGTCTGACATGGGTATAACTTGAATACATAGATGGTGTTGACATTCGTTTTACAAAAACGTACCCCGGAATGCAAAACGACACATCAAGCTGACAATACTTGATCTGGATACTTTTACCACTAGCATGTCTAGACAACCCTACCCGACAAAATAGCTGAGTGAGCACTCTGTACAGAATTTAATAAAATATAAAAGTCATAATTAAATTTCTTTAGTTACCTAATTTCATTAAGTAGACACTTAAGTTCACTTAAGTTCATATTTTTAACAAAGTATATATTTCATCATCGAGCGGAAGATAAGTGGTGACAAAACAACTTTGCATTTTCCCCGCTCCCCACCATTGTATATTTGGCGCTGATCAACAACAACACATACATGTAGATGATAGAGAGCTGAGTTGATATATCAGGACTTTTTCAAAATAATTTTTATGATAGTGATTTGGTATACTTTGTTAAAAATATGAACTTAAGTGTCTACTTAATGAAATTAGGTAACTAAAGAAATTTAATTATGACTTTTTACATTTTATTAAATTCTTTACAGAGTGCTCACTCAGCAGGACTCTATTTTGTTGGGTAGGGTTGTCTAGACATGCTAGTGGTAAAAGTATCCAGATCAAGTATTGTCAGCTTGATGTGTCGTTTTGCATTCCGGGGTACGTTTTTGTAAAATGAATGTAATAAACAGAATATCTAACACTATCTTCAGTACATGTAATACCAAATATGTTTCAATCCTGTGGCTTATATTTTGATATCTTTCACTGGTGATGTGCACTCGTGAAAGAGATCAGAATATTAGCCACACTCGTGAATTGTATTTGGTGTTACTGTTAGATATCCTCTAGACCTGTATCCAACTTCAAATCAGCGATTTGTTCCCAGATATTGTAGCAGGGTTGAAAAAAACAAATCAAAACACTGGTCTCTTCAAATGGTTGTTGCTTTATTATAACATCTTAAAATACCCTACAACAATTGATGATTGATTGATAGGTTTTACGTTCGCTTCACTACCGAGTAGTTCGCTTATCCAGCAGACGAAGAAAACAAAGGAAAATGAGTAGAAGGGATAAAGTATGGAGTAAAGAGCAGAAGAGGGAGACAGGTTGGAAAAGGAGCCTTCTATCCTATATGTATAAACTGTATAAGTCTAGTCTTTGGAAGACGGCTCCTATTTCTAATAATGCCTTAACCTATCACTCGTAGTATATATAGTATCACCAAGTCTGGACCGGATACATTTATACTCTTGCACACTAAATCAAGGGGCACAACTCTCTCACTTTACAGATAACGAGTTAGCACTTTTACATTTCTTACCAAATCAGAAATATATAGGAAATCTTTACATACCATCACATTTATATATTTTAGCATTACTTATATAGCACTGTTGAATATTTTGATCATATTATTAGGGCTTGTTATCGGAGATACGGGTGCCCTATAGTAATCACTGTCTGTCTGTCTGTCCGTCCACACATTCTGTTCCTGGCTGATAACTTTGGTATCTATTGACCGATGTACATGAAACTTGGTCAAGATGTTCAGTTTACAAAAATACACATTGAGGTGAAAAGTCAAGGTCATTAGGTTCAAAGGTCAAGGTCAAATTTTACATCTTTTCACTGATGAACATTTTGTTATGTCATTATGAAGCAAAGTTGATCAGAATTAAACAAAAGGTCAACTGACCTAAGGTCAAGGTCATCGGGTCAGGGGTCAAGGTCAAAGTTTGTAGCTTTTCACTGGTGAACAATTCGCTATGACACTTTGAAGCAATGTTGCTCAGAATTAAACAAGGAGTCAATTGACCAAAGGTCAAGGTCACTGGGTCAAAGGTGAAGGTTAAATTTTGTACCTTTTCCCTGATGAACATTTTGTTATGACATTATGAAGCAACGTTGTTCAGAACTTAACACAGAGTCAACTGACCTTAGGTCCAGGTCACAGGGTACAAAGGGTCAAGGTCAAGTTTTGTATTTTTCACTGATGAACATTTTGTTATGATATTAAGAAGTAAAGTTGGTCTGAATTAAAGAATAAGTCAACTGACCAAAGATCAGGGTCACTGGTTTAATGGTCAAGGTCATTTGGGTCCAAAGGTCAAAGACAAAGTGGATCTCTGACTTTGACCCTGGCTCTTGATGGAGGAGGTTTATAAGGTGAAATAAAACAAATCAAAGCTAACAAATGAGTGTTGCATCGGTATTTACATTTCTGTTAGCCCAGCAAATATGGAGGGGGAAGGAAACAAGACTCACATCATAGTACATGTAAAATGCTCTCTTGCGATTCTTTTTGAAGTCCAAATGTCAAACGTCAAGCTCAGCTATATGGGCAGATTGCTTCTTGATGATTATGGAGGATATATTCCCACAAGACGGGGCCCTTAACTGACCTGTCAGTGTTCTAGTTACCATAGAGTACACCACTGACCAAGGATTACATTAAAGTTACTTTCCTTATTCATAAATACAAAATACACAGATCTACATATATATAGACTCTAGACTCTAGAATTCATGAACTCACAAACTCACCCTACATATAGTGTAGATCTAGGTATATAGACAGGGTTCTCTATGCTATGATTATCTCAATCTGTCGTCTCGCATCTCAATTTCACTCATGATTCTAAGTAAATAAGATACAAAACCTATTGAACACATTTGTCAATGATTAAAATTGAAAATGCTATTTGGCAACTTTGTAGACACATAGATTCTACACTCAACAAACACTTATACTTGAGAACAATAGCATTACATTATATTTAAAAATATGCATTTACTTCATAGCAATTTATTGTTCAACATTTATAAACTAAACAATAAATTAATTACAATTACTACAACGATAATGATACACTAATAAAATAAACTTACCACCCAATCCCCAATTCTTCCTTACTCTCCAAAATCCAAATCTCTTCTGCCTAACAAAGAACTAAGTACCTACATAAAATCCTATTGAACTTTCCCTCTCTAAGATGGTATCCAGCCAATCAAATTGTCTAAGTCAGGTTATGTTGAAGGTCAAAGTATGAATCTTATTATGAATACATGAGTCTTCCATATATGGTTAGATTACATTTACATAACATACAGGTGATTACAACTTGCTGTGTCAAGCACATAGCTACTTACCTGGTATTTTGATATATATCTACCCAACTAATACTCATACAAACTATAAAACACATTAATACATTTATCTGACACATGTCAGACAAAATTAAAATACATTATTAGATAAATAAGCACATTCTGACCCATGTCGGTAAATATAACGACAGAGTCAAAGCATACGTATGTCCTAATACATATTATAAAACAATAAAATATAAATAATACCCTGTCACAATATATAGGGTAAAGTCGGGTTAATTTGATCACTCCAGTGTTCCTATTGTTCTGGATGGTCGCCTGATTGGTTTTGATCGCTAATTTGGTATGTTAATTGTTGTAGATATTTCAATGTCTCAAAACTCATAAAATGTTATATTTTGGTTGTCTCCATGTCTAGATGAAGGAAATGTGTCTTAATTACGATTCGGATAACTTTGATTGCACATCAGGTACTAGTCTGTATAATGGACTCATCCATATCAATGCATGGTAGAGTCTACTAAACTTACATAGGGGTGAAAAGGTTAAGGATATGCTCTGGTGAAATGTCAAAATTTGCTACTGACGTAACTTTTTGTTTTGTAACAGGAGAAAGAGAAAATGTAACAAACATTTCTCCCTCCTTTTTTTAAGTCTTCGCCCACGAAGACACAACTACCAGGTGTTTACAACCCAAGTTCGGGTATCCCCTTGCTAAGCATACTCCCAATGCTTGAAACAAGAGTTGGCAAGCTCGTCAATGTTGTAACATGGAGAAGGGGAAAATGTAACGTGCAGACCAGGCTTCGAACCTGGGACCTTCTGAACACTAGACAATGCTTTATTAAGATCTGGTCGCCGACGATTAACACAGTCCAGTTCCACTACACTTATATACCTTATTTTAAAGAGGAGAATACGAGAAATTTAAAAATGCAAAGAAAATGATGTGTTGATCTGTGTGTTCTTTTATTTTATTTTCGGGGGACCATATTATTCGTGTCCTGAGCATAACTTAACCCACATTTAAGCTGGATCATGAAACTTAGTGTGCACATCACTCATACTAGGACAATGTGCACTGTACCAAATTTAGGGCCCACAATCACTTATTAACAAAGTTATTGCCCTTTGCTAAACTGTTGTGTCCGGAGCACAACTTTGCCCACATTTCTGATAGGATCATGAAACTTTCACTTGGTATATGCACATTAGTCTCGATTACAGCGTTATTTCCCTTTCCTAAAATGTTGTGTCCAGAGCATAACTTTGCCTGCAGTTAAGCTAGGGTCATGAATCTTGGTGTGTACATCAGTAACATTAACGTGATGTGCACTGTAACGTATTCAGTGTCTGCAGCCCCTTTATGATAGAGTTATTGCCCTTTGCTAAAATATTGTGTCCAGAGCATAACTTAATCATAATTAGGTCATTGTGACCAACAACTTTCACGGAATTATTTCATACTAGAAGAAATTCTTTTCCAGGCCATATTTCAAGAAAATATTTCATGTAGGGACTCCAACTGGGTATGTAATTAGAACATCTAAGGGAGGAAAAGTGCAGTGTTTCATAATTAGGTCACCGTTACCTACTTTCTCAGAATTCTTGGATACTAGAAGAAAAACCTTTTCTGGGCCATATTTCAAGAACTATTTCATGTGGGGACTTCTTCTTTTGTACGAGGGAACGTCTATGCAAGGAAAAGTTCAGTGTACCATAATTAGGTCACCTTGACCTACTTTCTTAGAATTGTTCAAAACTAGCAGAAAACCTTTTCCGGACCATATTTCAAAAATAATTTAGAGCCTTCAACACTGGTATGAGGTTACATTTAAGGGAGGAGAAGTGCAATGAACCTGATTTTCAAAAATTATTACATTGTTAATGAAAAGATTACATTTGACGTGTGTATAATGCCACCGCATGGCGGTGCTCTTGTTTTTTTGTTTTTAATTTTTGATGCATAATTTAGAAAGTTCTGATGACTTACTTTTCTTAATATTCACAGAAATGAAAGAAAATTCTTTTCTCTTCTTAAAACAGTCAAACCATTTGGGGGTTAGTGAGCTTCTTTTTATGTTGCATTGTTTTTTGTGTATTTTTTTCAACTTTTACTGGATCAAAATTGTATGGGCCTAAACTGTTTGTCACAGAAATTGGTATATAAATTTAAGCTGAATTTTCTACTTGTAACGAGGTCAAAAATGATCCATAACCCCCAAAGTCCTCTTTTTTTTTTTTTAATTCTCTGCTAAATGAATTTCTCTTCCGTTTTCACTTCAAACAGCAGAGTAAAATGGGTGTTCATTGAATCTGAAATGATTTATATTTATAGGATCTTACATGAGTATCCATTTTATATGAGATTTATGAAACGAGTCTAAGAATTAAAAATTTGTGACCAGTTTCATGAATTTCATATGCAATGGAAACGAGTGTAATATCCTTTTTATCACATAGTCAAGATTTGTGGCATTTATTCGTGTAAAACAAAACATTTCATGCAACCTTGACATGTACAAAGCCGCCATTTTGACTCCAGTGCGCAAGTCTGTGATGTCTATTGTATTTGTCTTGGGCGTGACGTCACAATTGAAACTTACAACTAATCACAGGGCTCATAGGTCACATTACATGGGTTAATTCGCAAAAAAAATATGACATGGCCAATTGGGTATATTCACTGGATAACACAATACATTATGTGATAAATATACTTTTAATATAATTAAACAATATAGCTTAAGTTCTCAACACAATTTAGAAATGCAGTTGGCAAAGCAGATGATTTAAGAACTTAAAAATGTACAAATATTTTTTTTACTTGAATGTTGTATATTGATATATTTGAACTGTCAATTGTAAAAGTGAATTAGAATGAGGATTAACTCATTCACCCCTGAAACTTCATAATAAACTATTCCAACCTTTGAATTGGAAGAGTTCAAATGTGTCTTCAGGGAGGAATGAGTTAATGATGATTTGTGCCTGTTATACCCTGTCCCCTGAAGCATTTTTTTCCTTTCTTTTGTTTTTCTAGAGAAAAAGAGACATGGAAAGTCGATTCAAACTCTCACAAAGCGGTCTTCCTCAACAGTTGGAAATACAGAGTCCAATGCTATGGCTGCCTTGGCACTTCACCTGTTTTCCCAATTGGTCCCAGACAAGATATATGAAGTTGATAAATTAGCAAAGCATGTTCCAACAGAATGTGAATGTGGCTGTCAGACGATGATTTGTAGTGGAAACACTTCAGTAGGTAAGATTATAATAATAATAATAATAAAACTTTATTTCATGAGGATAAAAAAAAACTGTTTAGCCAACGCTAATCTACCACAGGGTCCTCTTGTTAGTAAAACATGGAAGGTGTTAAAATACAGGGTTTAATTCTAACATTTTTTTTATAAGATTTATGATTTATTAACATTTATCACAGAAACATATTTAAAATTATCACAGAATGCACAATACAGCAGTTTTATTTAGCAACGTTATGAAATATTCCTACCTTGCATAGGACATTAGACGAAGAAATAATTAATTTCGGTAATGTCGACGTTACTATTGATATGATGAACCATGTGTATGTGTAGTTTTGACAATCTTGCATGCCATTTAATCGGCGTCGATATATTGAAAATCAAACCACAACTTCCTCGATCTTCTGTGTATTTTAAATAAAATCTAACAAAATATTTTATAAGATATATCATACATTTATCACAGAAACGTATTCAAAATTATCACAGAATGCACAAAAGTTCATGCATATAGAGTAGTATTTAAAGATATTAGTCCAATATACATACATACTAGTATAAGTATTGTAAAGTGTAAAAAATTGACATAGTTATATGCTAATATAGCATATAATTATATTATATAATAATATTGATTTCATCTGTGGTCTCATGTTTATGATATATTTGTCCAAGAGTAAGTGGCTTTTATAATTACAGTATCCAAAAGTACGGTGAATTTTCCAAAGATAATGGGCCATATTCCATATGCAGTATTTAAAAAAAAAGTATTAAAAAGTTTACTTCACCATGTTGTAGCTTCAATAACCCATATGACATAGCCCGGGTTTCCTCTGGCCAATAACCCATCTGACATAGCCCGAGTTTCCTCTGGCCAATAACCCATATGACATAGCCTGAGCTTCCTCTGGCCAATAACCCATCAGACATAGCCCAAGTTTCCTCTGGCCAATAACCCATAAGACATAGCCTGAGTTTCCTCTGGTCAATAACCCATCTGACAGAGCCCGAGTTTCCTCTGGCCAATAACCCATCAAACATAGCCCGAGTTTCCTCTGGCCAATAACCCATCAGACATAGCCCAAGTTTCCTCTGGCCAATAACCCATAAGACATAGCCTGAGTTTCCTCTGGTCAATAACCCATCTGACAGAGCCCGAGTTTCCTCTGGCCAATAACCCATCTGACATAGCCTGAGCTTATCCTGGCCAATAACCCATCTGACATAGCCTGAGTTTCCTCTGACCAATAACCCATCTGACATAGCCTGAGTTTCCTCTGGCTAATAACCCATCTGACATAGCCCGAGTTTCCTCTGGCCAATAACCCATCAGACATAGCCCGAGTTTCCTCTGGCCAATAACCCATCAGACATAGCCCGAGTTTCCTCTGGCCAATAACCCATCAGACATAGCCCGAGTTTCCTCTCGCCAATAACCCATATGACATAGCCCGAGTTTCCTCTCGCCAATAACCCATCTGACATAGCCTGAGCTTATCCTGGCCATTAACCCATCTGACATAGCCTGAGTTTCCTCTGGCCAATAACCCATCTGACATAGCCCGAGTTTCCTCTGGCCAATAACCCATCTGACATAGCCCGAGTTTCCTCTGGCCAATAACCCATCTGACATAGCCCGAGTTTCCTCTGGCCAATAACCCATCTGACATAGCCCGAGTTTCCTCTGGCCAATAACCCATCTAACATAGCCTGGGTTTCCTCTGGCCAATTACCAATCTGACATAGCCCGAGTTTCCTCTGGCCAATGACCCATCTGACATAGCCTGGGTTTCCTCTGGCCAATTACCAATCTGACATAGCCCGAGTTTCCTCTGGCCAATGACCCATCTGACATAGCCTGGGTTTCCTCTGGCCAATTACCAATCTGACATAGCCCGAGTTTCCTCTGGCCAATGACCCATCTGACATAGCCTGGGTTTCCTCTGGCCAATTACCAATCTGACATAGCCCGAGTTTCCTCTGGCCAATAACCCATCAGACATGGCCTGAGTTTCCTCTGGCCAATGACCCATCTAACATAGCCTGGGTTTCCTCTGGCCAATTACCAATCTGACATAGCCCGAGTTTCCTCTGGCCAATGACCCATCTGACATAGCCTGGGTTTCCTCTGGCCAATTACCAATCTGACATAGCCCGAGTTTCCTCTGGCCAATAACCCATCAGACATGGCCTGAGTTTCCTCTGGCCAATGACCCATCTGACATAGCCTGGGTTTCCTCTGGCCAATAACCAATCTGACATAGCCCGAGTTTCCTCTGGCTAATAACCCATCTGACATAGCCTGAGTTTCCTCTGGCCAATAACCCATCTGATATATCCCGAGTTTCCTCTGGCCAATAACCCATCTGACATAGCCCGAGTTTCCTCTGGCCAATAACCCATCTGACATAGCCAGACTTTCCTCTGGCCAATAACCCATCTGACATAGCCAGACTTTCCTCTGGCCAATAACCCATCAGACATAGCCCGAGTTTCCTCTGGCCAATAACCCATATGACATAGCCTGAGTTTCCTTTGGCCAATAACCCATCTGACATAGCCAGACTTTCCTCTGGCCAATAACCCATCTGACATAGCCAGACTTTCCTCTGGCCAATAACCCATCTGACATAGCCCAAGTTTCCTCCAGCCAATAACCCATCTGACATAGCCCGAGTTTCCTCTGGCCAATAACCCATCAGACATAGCCTGAGTGTCCTTCTGGCCAATAACCCATCTGACATAGCCCGAGTTTCCTCTGGCCAATAACCCATCTGACATAGCCCGAGTTTCCTAGCTCTGGCCAATAACCCATCTGGCATAGCCTGAGTTTCCTCTGGCCTTTACACAAGAGTAAGTCATTTTGACGAATAGATGGGGTAAGGGACCAGAGCACACTAGTAGTATATGAAACATGGAATTCTACGACACCATTTGGTTTAAAGGTGCTGACAAGAAAAATCCTTTAAGACACAACACCGACATGTACCTTACACACATTGTATATCGGAAATAGGAAACTAGGAACGATTGAAAACCGAGGACTATGTTGAAGGAATTTAGCGGTGGTCGATGATAATAATAGCAGTTTTGGATAAGTTAATAGCATGATTATGTACCTATAGTTCAATTTAACAGACCCGAGGGTCCGGTTACAGAATTGATAGCAATGTGAATGATAACAATATATACCAAAATATCACAGATAAAGACATGCATATAAAATACACTATATCACAGCATGTAGATATTAACACACATAAAGACATTGCATATAAAATACACTATATCACAGCATGTAGATAATAACACACATGAAATAAGTTACATAACAAAGCACTAGCATGAAATTAAATAGCACGCTGTTTGGAATGAAATACACAGTAAGCAGTCAACTAACAGCGCTGGTTGGCCACCCAGAGAAATTATGCTATGGGTGGCTTAATTAACGATCTTTTCATATAATCACATGATGAAAAATGAGATTTTAGATAAAAATCTTTCATTTCACCGACTCACCTGTTTGGTCAACACTTAAATTGATGTGCACACGAACGGTACAGAACTACTGGTGTGTTTGTTTACATTCCCCCTATATACCTATAGTCATATTTGACTGTATAGCTAAATCTAACTACATGTACGTGTACATAGCCAGATTTGTCTACCAGCAATTTTCTCCTAAAAAAACAAAGAAATAAGTGTTTTTTTATTAACTTTTGTTTCATAACAGTTTTATTGTATCCAAATTGACTTAAGTCAGTTCAAGCAATTATTTTATTCACCTGCTGTATGGGAAATTGGACAAATGTGTGCAAAAACATGTTTTCTGATGCACTAGGTTGCCCGGGGAAAGTAAGCTAAGATTTTGCACTTGCACAAACTCAAAGTCTGGTTGTCTCGGGTGTCAGGCAAGTGGATTTTTACATCCCTGTGGTCCCAGGCCAGTTGTGAACCCCCCACTGTGTGTGTAATGTAACACTGTTAGACCATGTGTAACTAACACCAATACATATATACACACATACCTTGGCACCTGTGTAGGTTAGTTTTGTCAATTTTCAATGCATCGTCGATCACCCTGCGCATCATTTCCGCTTTGTTTGGAACAAAATGGTTTCACAGTACTGTACCTAATTTTTCCGTCAATCTTACCTTTATTCAAATCACCCTGCGTCCATGGTCTGTCGACTGTCTGTCATTCCGTCAACGTACCAGAGGGATCTTTTGCAATTTTTTCCCTTTAGTTCTTAGTGGTACATGAAAACTTTTGTGACTGATCAGAGGAACAAGATGGCTGTCAGGCAAACGAATCAAGCAGATAAGAGAAAAGAAGAGAAAAGATTGAACTGATATAGAACTATTTGAAGATGGTACGATGGTGGGCGCCATGATCCCTCTGGGACCTCTTGTTCTTAAAAGTTACCAGCTATAAAGAGAAATGTGGGTTACTCCTCAAAATCATTTTGTCCCTAAAACCCATAGCTGGGGGAGGGTGGGGGTGGGGGTCTATGTTCTATTTTTGTTCGTTTCATCACAACATCAAATGACTATTGTATTAACCCTTTCACCACTGCAGACCATAATGGACTCATCCAGATCAATGCATGGAAGAGTTTACTAAAGTTACATAGGGGTGAAAGGGTTAATCAAATCAGGTGACTGATAAGGCTAAGGGGCCTTTCCTTGTGCATTACTTTCATATTTATTTTTTCAAACAGGGTCAATGAGAACATGGCATGGCAGAGTAGATATCGTCCTGAACAATACAGTTGCTGTTGCTGTTAGGAAGGAAATAACTGGCACAGGTGAAGATGGCTGTACAGACGCAGAGAGTGAAGATAGTTGTACAGATGAAGATGAACCTGTTACGAAAAAAAGGAAAGCGAATCAATGTGATATCTGTGTTAAGGAAGAACTTACCGAGAAACCAGGTGCTCTCCTAGATGAAAAATTCCTGAAGCAAATCTTGGCTGAAGCCATTACAAACAGCTTTGCTCAAGCTAACATGCAAAAGGAACCACTGTCCCATTTCTTGATTCCAACATTCGGAGCGTCATCAGAAGAAGTTTCTTTATGTTTGTATGATTCTGTAAACGACCACTTACTGCACATCATACAGCCACTTAGGTTATGGTCTGATGACCTGGACCGAGAACTTGAACTTGATTGGCAAGCCATAGTTGTCATTTGGCTGTTTTTGAATTTCGATGTGTTTATGAAGAAAGATCTGCATGCTTCAATAAGTCTTGAAAAGTCAGGATTACATGAGCAATTAAAAGGACATCTGGAGTATTATAGACAGGCAGAAACGAAACAGAACTTTACTGGCTCTACTCCTTGGAACAGTTGGTGGCAAAAAGTCATCAAGAAACCCCTGCCTAAGTTAGAAGTGATCCCTGATGAGGCAGAAAAAGAAAACTAATGATGTGTTGCAGGCATTCTGAATAAACTGAGATTTTTGTGTTAGATTGCATTGCAATATTTAGGACTAATAGATTGATAATTCTTGTCCATCTGTCTGTCTGTCTGTCTGCACTAATAGAAGATTGAAAATATGTAAGATGGAGTATCAACATTTAGATTCCGCCTAGGCTAGCCAAAACATGAAAACCGTAAATAAAACACGGAATCTAGATGTTGATGCTCCATCTTATATATCCTTTGTATTTATCTACCGAAATAGAACACTACTGAATATTGTTAGGTATTCATCGCCGATTCCTATTACCACCAGCTTTCGACCATCAACCAGGACATTGGTTCCCCTCCACTCCGACAGGAGTCCTAGTCTTAAAAGAAGATAGGTTAAGGCAAATTTTCATGTTACTTATACATGTCCGATATCAACTTACATGATTTATGTATCTAATCATGCTCACCACATGTGATGGTTCATATGCTGGGCTGGACCTGAGTCAGCTAGGTGACCGCTGCTATTACGATCACCTTTCATCTGTCATCGTCCATAAATAATCACCTTTTTATACGCCCGTCAAATTTGACGGGAGTATTATGGTATGGGTTTGTCCATCCGTCTGTCTGTCCGGCGTAATTTTTTGTTTGTCCGGCAATCTCCGCCTACATTTTTCAACCAATCTCTTTGAAACTGGGTATACACTATAATCATGATATGAAGTTGTGTCTCCCTTAAAAGAATTTTGATTCAACAATTTTTGCAAAAGTTATCGCCCTTTGTTTATTTCAGTATTTGATTTTTGTCCAGCAATCTCCTACATTTTTCAACGGATCTCTTTGAAACTTGGGATACATTATAATCATGATATGAAGTTGCGTCTTCCTTTACAGAATTTTGATTCAATGATTTTTGCAAAAGTGATTGCCCTTTGTTCATTTCAGTATTTGATTTTTGTCCGGAGGTTTTCTTCTTCCTTTTTTTCTAGCATGTCAGCTAACCACTCTTAGAATGATGCAGATCTTATTTCAATGTAAGAAAGTATATAACACTATATGGCATTAGACGGGCGTAGATTGTTCCGCCCCGCGGTACTTCTCCCCAGAAACTGTCCGTCGGATTTTGATGAAACTTGTTGGTAATCATCAGCCCAAGGTAGTAATCACCATCAATATTCCAGAAGAATAACCAAAATGCCCAGGGTGGTGATATTTGGCTAGTAGCATGTTGGGATGAAGGGCTACCAAGCGTGTTCAAATGAATGACCTTCTCTCATATTCAAGGTAACAGGAGTCAATTGTCTTAAAAAAATGTAAACAACTTCTTTTGAGTAACCAAAAGGATCAGAGTGATGAAACATGCTGGGATGAAGGATTTCAAAGTTTGTTCACATGAATGACCTTCACCCATATTAAAGGTCATATGAGTCAAATATGTTGAAATCTTTAAATGACTTCTGAATATTGGCCAGTAGCAAACAGTGATAAAGGGCTACCAAGTTTGTTGAAATAAAGGAATGACCTTTGCCCATATTCTAAGTCACATGGGTCAAATGTGCTTTAAACCTTTAAAACAACTTCTGAATTAAAATGTGATATTTATGCAATCTTTTTCATAAAACCTTCTTTAACATGAACACTTGTGCCCTGTTACTACTACGGACCACTGACCTTACAGGTACAAACGTCGAGCTTTCATGGTTTGCTGACCCATTTAATTGGTGCTGGGTAGACTAGTACTGCACATCTTTCTCATATTCCTTGGATCATAAATTGAAAACAGTTACTATTTCCATCATAACCATAAGAGATGCTACCAGGATAACTGCAGGATCTGGTCCCATTCCTTAGGACTTCTTCAACCTGANGGGGGGGGGGGGGGGGGGGGGGGGGGGGGGGGGTGTTATACTGGAATCAGGTTGTCCGCCCGTCTGGACGCAATGTAGTACTGTGTCCTCCTAAACTAGTAAACTACTGGATGGATTTCAATGAAATTTGCTGATAACAATCTTTGCAGCTTGGAGATTTGCGTAAAGTACTTTTTTTTAATTTAGTTTCTTCCAAATTTGGTATGCTAATACTAAAAGTAATGATGTTTAACATATATAACATGTTTTTTTGTCAGTCTCAACTTTCGGTATTTTGTATACACATATACATTAAATTATTGTAGGCATTAATGCAATCTACGCTACTGACAGCCTCCGAGGTCGTGGGTCAAAGGTCACAAATGAATTATGTTACCGAAATGGCTAATAATCTTGGAAATAGTAGGTATTTTGTATACACATATACATAAGAGTATTAATTGTAGCCAATTATGCAGGCTATATTATGACAAACATCCAAGGTCATGAGGCCAAAGGTCACAGATCATTTTGTTACTGTATTGGCTAGTTAGGGCAGAAATGGCAGGTATTTTGTATACCCATACCTTGGAGTAAATGTAGCATTGATGCAAGCTACACTGACTTCCGAGGTCATTGAGTCAAAGGGCACAGTAGTGGTGTATGTCTTTTCCATCGGTCTGTTGGTACGACATCTGAGGTTAAACTTTTTTATGACCCTTGATCTTTCTATATATTTTTTCCCTTGTTTATTTAGCCCCTACATGAGCAATAAACAGCTGGAATGTGGGGGTAATAGTTAGCCAATAGGCGGCAGTTCTAGTTTCATATGAAGCATCCTTGGGAATGCAATGCCCAAGCCAAATATGGGGAAATATTTCCAACACTACTTTCAGTTGAAAATTTCAGGAATATCTATTATGTAATTTTGTAATGAAACAGTCACTTCTGTTGTCTAACCACATACCAAATGTACATGGAATTATTATTTTCATGATGATAACATTTCATTTAGTATTCCATTGCATTGCTTTGTTTAAAAATGTAGGTACTTTTAAAATTGTTCCATCAAATAAATGTATATATATATATATATTATCAAAGCAGAAAAATTATCCTTATGGTCAAATAAATAATGTAAAAAGAAAAATTCTCAATAATGAGTCTTTAAGTACTTTCATCTCGTCTAAGAGATTCTTCAGACTATATATATAAAGGCAACATACTTGTTGATAACTTTGTCATAGTAATTGTTCATCTTCACCTTTGTTTGTGCCCTGCTCAACAAAGTTGGCAGAGGATGTAAATATGGGGTTGGTCTGTCTATCCGGGATCCATTCACATTGAGAAAAAGTGTCAGGTTCATGTCTGGATCAATCTAGGTAATACATACATAATGATGGCATCAATGATGTCGACGCAGCTATAGGGACACTCTAATGAATGTTGGCATCAATGATGTCGACACAGCTATAGGGACACTCTAATGAATGATGGCATCAATGAGGTCGACGCAGCTATAGGGACACTCTAATGAATGTTGGCATCAATGATGTCGACACAGCTATAGGGACACTAATGAATGATGGCATCAATGATGTCGACGCAGCTGTAGGGACACTCTAATGAATGATGGCATCAATGATGTTGACGCAGCTATAGGGACACTTTAATGAATGATGGCGTCAATGATGTCGGCGCAGCTATAGGGACACTCTAATGAATGTGCGTAGATGCTGAATTTGACTTACACTTCCAGTGATAAATCTACATGCGAGTCCTGGGTACTGTACCCATAGAATTTCTGAAAATACTAAAATTTAACATGGTGGGACCCATATCTATTAACCATACCGTGAAAAAAAGACCCATATTTATATTTATCATACAAACTAATAGTAGATTTATCACTGCACTTCAGACGTCGGTGACTCCCCGATACATTGTACATCACATTGGTCCCCGATACATTGTACATCACATTGGAAAAGTTGTTAAGTACATATCTCAGTAACAACAAGAGGCCCAGGGGCCTTAATAGCTCACCTGGTATTTTATTTTTCAATTTAAAACCTGCTGAGTACCATTCAGGTTTATCAAAGGAGTACAAGTAACAAAGTTGCATCTTCCATTTATAAATATTCAATTCCCTTTGCCCAAAGATTCTCTAAAACAAGTTTGGTTAGGTTAAAATCCCTTCAACGGTACAGAAGGAGAAGGATCTTTAATGTTTTCCTCTATTTCCCCTAATGGGCCCCACTAATCTGCCCCAAAGAAGGGGAATCCACACACCTCAGTTTAAACAAAATTGATTCTTTTCTCCCTAAGCATGCTTCAGACTGCATTTGGTTTAAATCCCTTCACTTGTATAGTAGGAGAAAAAAAATCCTCTATTTCCCCTATTGGGCCCCGCTCCTATGCCGCCAGAAGGCCCACACCCTCCGTTTATACAAACTTGAGTCTCCTTTGTCCAAAGATGCTCTAGGACAAATTTGGTCAAAATCCTTCAATTGGTTGAGGAGAAGATTTTTAAAGATTTACCTATTTTCCCCTATTTGGCCCCGTCCCTCTGCCCCCAGGGGGACCATACCCTCCGTTCATACAAAACTGAGAACCCTTTGGCCAATGATGCTCCAGACCAAATTTGGTCAAAATCCCTTCATCGGTACAAAAGGAGAAGGATATTTGATGTTTTCCTCTATTTCCCCTAATGGGCCCCACCCATCTGCCCTTAGAAGGAGGCCCACACACCTCAGTTTATACAAAATTGATTCTTTTGTCCCTAATCATGCTTCAGACTGCATTTGGTTAAAATCCCTTCACTTGTATAGCAGGAGAAAAAAAATCCTCTATTTCCCCTATTGGGCCCCGCCCCT